CCAACCAAAGATCTCATGAAGTGCTACACAGTTTCGCTCAAGAAAGCACTCGGACAACGCTTGTTTCTACTTGGCAAGACCTGAAGGAACAAGACGAAGCTTCTAGAACTCAACCATGAAGTGCTCGGGGGCTTGTCGATACGGGACCCATAGGATACCCCGCCAGGAAGGGAGAAGATCTAGTCCAACTAGGATTCTTCCCATATAGTCCTAGTAGTAGTATTATCTTGTAATCCTACTAGGAACTCTCATTGTAAACCGACTAGGACTCTGATCTCCTGACTATATAAAGGAGGTTGGGGTTCCTAGATGACAGAGGACTTTTACAACGATACAACACAACAACACACAATCAATACAACACAAAGGCTAACGCCGACTGGACGTAGGGCTGTTACTCGACCACAGTCGAGGGCTTGAACCAGATAAATCGACTGTCTCTTGCGTTCACCGTCAAGTTCCGCATACGCTGAAGCCTCGAACATACTGTCCCAAGTAACCCCATGACAGGCTATCGGTGTTAAAACATCGACAAAGTTGTGGCTTACCCCCTGGGACTCTTCATCTTCCTCCTCACCGGTGCCAATTTCCTGTGGATGGTTGAAGTTGTGTCCGCCACCGCGTCCACCAACTCTGCCTCCCCCACGGGTCCCCCCTCTACCTCCGCGGCTACCAACAGCTCCACCACGTCCTTGTACTCTACCTCCGGTGGACCTCGCCCAACGACCTCCACGACCTCCGCCACGACCAAGCCCTCTGCCTGCAGGGGCATGAGGAGGAAGAGGATAGTTTACTCCATCATCCCCGGCCTAGAGGAACTCCTGGTATGAGTCCAGGTTGGGGAACACGTCGGCCTACGAGTTCAAGTCAAGGTTCTCCATGTGTCGACGGGGAGCGGAGAGGCTGCGAGCTGGCGGTGAGGTGAAGGGCCCGAAATCATATTCATCGGCGGCGTCCTGGGAGGGCAGGAAGCTTGGGGTACCTTGCGATGAAGAACCTTGAGAGAAAAATTCACGGTAGTTGTCCATGGTGTTAGGGAGGGCCGGGATGAGGTCGATCCGGCGTGGGGAGGTAAGGAGGCCATGGATCCGGCGTTGGGAGGGGCTTGGACGGCGGATCAGGCAGGGGGAAGAAGGATGCGGTGGGGGGCGGGCGGACCTGGATCATGTACTTGCGTTGGGAGCAGGGGTGGGGAGGAGCGGTGGGAGCAGCGGGGAAACGGGAGGGGGAGCGGCCGGCGAGAGCGGGGAAGGTAGCGGGCGTGGCTAGCTACCACCCATGGCATGAGGATGACGGCAGGCAGGGGGAGAACGGAGCGCTGCGGAAGGTGGCAACGCCGGGACCAGAGATGGGAGGAGCGGCGGGGAAACAGGAGGGGGAGCGGCCGGCGAGAGCGGGGAGGGTGGCGGGCTGCGGGAACTGCCGCCGGCGACGAGGGGTGTGACCGGCGCAGTGGGGGCGGAGTTGTGCGGATGGAGAGTTGGCGACGGATGGAGTTGGCGCGGGGTTGGGGGTGGGGAACGAGCGCAGTAATGACAGGGGCAGGGGAGTCAAAGAGAGTTTTAGTCCACTTTTAGTCTAGTTTTTTTTACTAAAGGACTAAAGGACTTTAGTCCAGTTTTAGTCATGTGTTTGGCATTTTAGTTGGACTAAAGTGCAAATTTTAGTCAAAACCTTTAGTCCATGGGAAACAAAAACCCCCTTACTGCTGCATCTACATGCTAGTCTGCTACTAAGCAACCAATGCACGAGATCACACCAAATCTTCTCTTCTATTCTCTGCTTCACTACGCACCACCAACCGAGATCACCGCTGATATCGACCAGCATTTCTGCATTTGCATGCCTAGCTCTTTATTCGTTTTTTTCCTTTTCGTTTCAAAAAAAAAGTAGTTCTAGGCTACTAGCTAATAGGATAGTGCCAAGACGTAACAGTACTCTCTCCATCCAGAAAAAAATGCAATTCTAGTTTTGAACTTGGACACGACGCGTGTCCGGTTCAAAGCTAAAATTACGTTTTTTTCGGACAGAGGGAGTAGGTTTGACTAGCAATATCTACACATTTTAAATTAGGTAGTCATATATTATGGAAGTATTTTTCAAATAACTTTATCATTAGTAATGTCCATCTTGTGTTGTCAATTATAAAATTGTTTAGATATTAACGATCAAAACTTAAAACACTTATCACCAAGATAGACATTGTTATATTCCTGTTGAAGGAAGTAGCAAGTAGATAGAGTTCACTTATCACCAACGCTTGGAGGCATATATTTCAGCATGGAAGGTAACAATTTTTAGTGTGCATAACCGAAGAAGGGATTATTAGCATGGAACAAAATTTTGATTAATTTGCATGTTACGACTTCTATACAAATTATTTGCAGATTATTTGTTATACGATATCTGAGTGTGTTTCCTTTTCCCATTACCTGATTTCTTTTCTTTCATTCTCTCTATTGAAAGAGGATGGGACGGAGTAGAGAGATGATGGAGGAAAAAGTCACAACATGATAGTAGATGGATTGGGGAAAAGATAGCACTATAAGAACAAAAAACTCATAATCGTCAGATTTCGATGGCTCAAAGTTTGGTGCAAATTAAGACGGAGCTAAATGCCTGGACGTCCTATATATATAGACAGTTCCATCATTTATTATTTTCTCATTAAACACCAAAGGGTGGAATCCAAAAACTTTATATATGGGTCTAAAAAGGTGACCCAAGAGATTGGGTGGTCGCAATAAGGTAGGAGTATATGAGTGTGTAATAGGTTCAACCACATTTGACTAACTCCAACACTTAGAGTAAGATCAATAATAGAGCCAATTCTTTAGTTATAAGTCATTAAATCAAATTATATAAAAGCCAAACTATACAATAGTTATCTTTTATTTATCTACAAATATATTTTTATTATTACTTTTATTCATGTCAGATCCCATATTTTCTTTCGTAATCCTCCTTATGCTCACTTAATGTCTGGACCCACCACTGCATAGTCTTTCGTGCCCAGCTTGTTGCTTGCGTGAGAGCTAAGCTCTCATCTCTTTTTTCTCCTCCAGATCAGCATTTGCTTCACTGTAAGACCATTATTGTACTTGCACTTACAAAGAATCACCTAAGAATGTGTATCACCGGCTCTACCACCATGGAAGAAATATGAACTGCTAACCCATTTAGACCCCACTCTATCGAGTTGTTCTCTACTTCTCTCTTTATCTCATTCCTGAATTAAGAAACCATGTCCCTTCTTGTTGATTCAAAACTAATCATTTATTTTCAGCCCCGCCATTGACTTTATGTAACCTTTCCGATCAACACGAACAAGAACAAGGTGGTGTTGTGTGATGCCAACACCCTATTCGCTTGATCGTATCAGCCATGCTTATTAGCTATGATACAACGTTTTTCTCTCATAATCAAACAACATCAGCCGGCTTATAAGCCGCAAAAACGATCAAGCAAACATGCTGGGCAACAACAATTCGTCGCCGGGTCAAGCAACAATAGTGCATGAGTCGATTCCCTCCTCAAAGGAGTGGTCTCGACACCATTGATTTGGTTTCTTCTGGGTTAGACAATATAATGGCTCATATTTAGTGTCTGCTAGTCAACGAACATGGAGGTTGATATGTTGTTTCAAGTCATGGATACTTAAGTACACACTCATTTCCTCTTATTAATTAATAATATAGGTGATGTGGGTGGAGATTGAATGCTGGGATTCTCGTGGAAGTTCCGGGGGAAAGGTGTCCTCTGTGGTGGAGCGGGAGCAATGTATATGTAGTGGTGAGAGTGGATGGAAAGGAGCTAGGAACCAATGACATGGAACCTAATGTAAACAATAATGTGGTACATAACAACGAAAAAATTAAAATAAAATTAAGTGAAGATAATATGGATAGCTTGTATTTAAAGGTTGGAAAATAAAAGATGGTATGGATAGTTAGTGGGAGATGGTGTATGCCTTGTAGTTGTAGTTGAGATAGAACTTGAAGGGAGAATTGGTGTGGTTCTCTGAAAAATTTCACCTTTTTTTACCCGTCCATCACGACTTGGCAAATTAGTGGACCGTCAAGGATTAGTTCAAGAAAAAAGCGGGCAATATTAGAAAGACCAGAGATGGATTGGGTGGGCTGTGGGCATTGAATGCTGGAGACCGTGTCAAGTAGGACGACTCGTTGGTACCCATTGATCTCTCGAGTAGTGAGGCCTTGTTTAGATCTATTGCGTAAACCTTTAAAGTGTCACATGTACTAATGATGAATTATTTAAATTTAATAAATTTGTTTCGTGAATTACCGATGAATTCTATATTTTATTTTTTATTAATATTCAAATACCCCACGTAACCTCCGACGTCAAAAACTTTATTTCCTGGATTTAAATATGAATGGCCGGAATGTTGACGCACAGTGAGGCCTAGCTAGCATTAGCAGGCTAATCCAACCCGCAAAGCCAGCGTGCCAAACAGACCCGTCGTAGTAGGCGTAGCCTAGCCTGCCTGGCCTGGTGACGCCGGTACGTGGGAGTGGGACTGTGGGAGCGACGACGCCTTCTTTAACTCAACTGAAGGCATGTGATTTTTGGTCATGGACTGCCGATCCGTACGGACGCATCACCATCATGTGTGGGCTGCGACGTCGCTTGGCTAGTGCGATCACTAGTCTCCGCACTGTTTGTCATGATTGTCATCTAACCCGGGCGCAGCAAATGGGCCGTAGTTTCATTATCCCCTGAGGATCCATGGGCCACTCTATCGCCCATATGGACTCGGTCATCCTGGCCCAGGACCGCATGTGATTTCTAAGACGAGGCCCATCCAGACGACGAAGAATATCCCAGCAGACACGTGGCGCAGCCTCGCCCTCCCTTGAGCTGGCGGGTGGCGTCTCTTCTTCACTTGTTGCGGGTCGGGCCTGAGCTGCCTCCCTTGCTGCGAAATCGGCCGCTCTTCCCCCATTTCCCAAGTCGTCCCAGCTGAAATCCGCCGCCAAATGGCTCCCCCCTTCGCCGCGGCGTCCCACGCGTCCCTCCTCCCCCTCGCCCCCCTCGACCGCCCCGCCGCCGGCCGCCTAGCCCGTGGCACCCTCAGGCCCCACACCTCGGGCCTCCGCCTGCGCCGGCCCCCGGGGGCAACCGGGCGCGGCCGAGGGGCCATCCCCGACGAGTGGGGCGAGCGCTCGCCGCCGGGCGCCCGCGAGCCTCCCACGCAGCCCGACCCGCCCATCGACGCCGACGAGTGGGGCGAGCCCGGGGCGCCCGAGCCCGAGCCGCCCTCCGCCGCGGACCCGCCTAGCCCCGCCGCAGACGACGAGTGGGAGGAGGAGCTGGAGCCGCCGGAGCCGGGGGAGGAGGAGGAGGAGGACGAGCAGGCGGTGAAGAGGGAGGAGCTCAAGCGCTGCCTGGTGGACACGGTGTACGGCTCCGACCTCGGCTTCCGGGCGTCCACGGAGGTCAGAGGGGAGGTCGTCGAGCTAGTCACCCAGCTCGAGGCGGCCAACCCCACTACCGCGCCCGTCGAGGCGCCGGATCTCCTCGACGGCAACTGGATCCTCATGTGAGTTCTTGCTATGCCCAAACATGTGTTTTGTCTGTTCCTAGTAAGTTGGTCGATCGATCGATGATTCAGGGCTGATGTGCTGTGTTGCTACTTGCTGCTGCTGATAAGTGATAATCATCCGTGTGGCCATACCATTCAAATCATTGAGAGATGGGCTGAAATCTGTAATGATTGGGTACGGTACGATCCATTTGCTCCGAACATTCCTCCGTACTCAGAACTGAGCAGCTTCTTTAGCCATGCAACTTGTGCAACCTCTGGCAATCAAAGAGAAAGAGGTGTGGCTATAGGCCCCATAACAGAAAATGACGGCTTCTATAGGATGCAAGAAACCTTTACTCATGGGTCCACGAGATTTTGTTTAGGGCTTACCTATTTATCGGTTTGGTTGAGAGGCTTGTAACCCATCAGATGTACCATTGCTATGCCATGTAATCTTAAATGAAGTAGGTCTAATATCCTCTCGTTCAAGGATACATTTAATAATGAAATAATGGATAGATGATCGTGCCTACATATGTGTGTGCGCGCACACAGCATGTTCTGCTTCTCATCATTGAGTTTGCTGGTGCTTTATTTCCATACCTTCTTGATACAATTATCTAAGGACAAATGGTTGCCTTATCGTGTTTTCTTGATACAATTTTCTCAAGGACAAATGGTTGCCTTATCATGTTTTCTTGATACAATTATCTCAAGGACAAATGGATGGCTTATCATGTTTGGTCATTGACTTGCAGATATACGGCATATTCCGAGCTTCTGCCTATTCTAGCTGCTGGGGCAACACCTTTGGTCAAAGTAAAGCAGATATCCCAAGAAATTGACTCCAAAAGCATGACGATAGTCAATGCTTCGACCCTTACAACTCCATTTGCTTCATTTTCATTCAGCGCAACCGCCTCTTTCGAGGTTCAAAGTCCATCAAGAATAGAGGTATGAATTGATCGGCATGCTAGCCTGTTTGGATACATTATTCATTTTCTGGGATAACCCAAAGACAACAGTTTATTGGTTGTTTGAAAATTAGGACTGCCATACTATGTTACTAAGTTATTTCAGTCATTTACCCACTTAGCTAACCTGTGTCTTCGTACTGGTTGGAAATGTGGAGTTCGTTTCTACAATTTTGTTTTGCTCACTGCCAAATTTGATGCACCACACTTCTCAAATGACACTTCAGTGTGCAGACACCAGATGCTAACATTTCTTGTGATAATTTTTCAGCTATTTAAGTTGTTGTGTGATAATGTGTAGATGATCAAACTTACATGCTGGTGATTAACTGAATGCAGGTCCAATTTAAGGAGGGGAACTTTCAGCCTCCGGTAATATCATCATCCATAGATCTACCTCAACAAGTTGATATATTTGGGCAGAAGATCAGCCTGGGGCCAGTCCAGCAGGCGTTGAATCCATTGCAGCAAGCATTTGCTAGCATTGCAGGGTCCATTTCTGGGCAGCCACCCCTCAAGGTACCCATCCCCAGCAACAACAGAGCTCGATCCTGGCTCTTGACTACCTACCTGGACAAAGACTTCAGGATCTCGAGAGGTGATGGAGGCTTGTTTATTCTTGCGAAAGAGGGGAGCCCTTTGCTAGATCAATTGTAAATCTGGTGCTCTTTTTTTTAATCTTTATAGTATTTGGCAAATTTGTCTACCAAGGAATTGTGAAGCTTGGTCAAGTTCAGCCTGGAGCCAGTCCAGCAGATGCTGTTGTATTTCAGCAAGCTGCTGGGTACTTTTTCGAAACGAAACCTTCTCTTTAGCCTGGGAGTTTTGGAATTCGTCATCGCTAGGATAGGGGCACGATCACTGTATAGCGAAGGAAGATGGTACACTACTGTTTTGAGAAAAATTAATCTGCATGAGCAAAACTATGATCCAAGCGTTCAAACGCGTGGCTAGCAGTAAAACGTTTGTTAGTCTAAATATTAGCAAGCCTGCTTCACCCAAGATCAATCAAGCCACATTATTCAACTTGAGAACATAAATTATCAATACAGGGAAAGGTTGGCCTAAATAGGTTTTGAACAACAAAGCCGGTAACTTCCTGCCAGATAACTGGTGTTGGGTCCCCGACACATGCATATCAGATTGAATCTAACGTGTGCTGCTAACAATGCATCGTTTTCAGCTTATGTTGCTCATTATTTATAGACCGATTACATCAAAGACTAAGCTAAAGCTGCTCCTAAACTTGAGCTGCCAACTCTTTAGGAAGCAGAGGTAGCTGCTCAAGTTTAGGAGACTTACTGGGACTGCAACCAGAACATTCAGCCGATACGTTCATACCAGTAGCAACAACTAAGATGCTTCAACAGTACAACTGAGATGATGCTTTTCAGTTGATAGTTCATAAAGGAGACTTACTTCTGAAGGAAATTTAGACGGCATAGACAGGTAAATTAGACAGAAAAAAAACACTTAAAAAGGAACTATCAAGTCTTGAGGAGTCTGAGGTCGTGATTAGTACACCTTCACTTTTTCTTCACATGACTAAACGTCTAAACCCCTTAAAAGATACATGATTGCTGGATGTAACTACAGAACTATCCCTATCAGAAAACCATCCGAATCATTGCCTGGTGTCGTAATTGTACGATGACACCTCCAATGCATTACTGCTCCTTGCTCAGAAAATTGCTGAGAACAATGTCCTTGGCTTTTACTCATGCCTATCGGGTTTCTTGATACAAACAGATAACATCCTTCAAAGTCATCATCAAGCCTGATGTTTGCTGGAAAGGTTTCGAGGGTAATCAAAGTTAGACGAGATTCACCAAAATATATGGTACAATGGCAGTGTACAGATATCTATTCGGTTAACAATGGATATGCATAATGATGAAAGCACACTACTGCTACCTTTAATATACTTATGATCAAAGTGGTTAAAGACTTGTCATGATCATTCTTCAGACATGACCAACCTTGATGACACTATTCAGACATGGGGAAATTACAAAAGAGTTAGCTACATGGTCATAACTCATTGATGCTTAACTGGAAATCACAAGGAACACCAACAGTAGTTAAGTACAAAAATCTCAACACCACATACAAGAAATCTCAACAACATAAAATGTATCACAACAATTAGCTTTGGATGTTATTTGTTTCTCCTGTTTATGTACATATTTCTTCCATTTCGATCATCTGATTTTCGGAGTGAGAATTTCTGAAAAAGTTTACCATTCTCCGTAGCAGATGATATTATGTTCAATGACACAAGCTGCTAGCATGACAAAAAAAACTCAGCAAGGTTACAGATAGACAAAGGATCAGGAACGTGAAAAAGAAATTAGAATTCTTAAGTAATGAAATGTGGAAGTGAAAACCTGTCAGTATAATTGGAAAGCTGTGGACTTTACCTGATTTTCAAGTCACACAAGATCACACATCCTGCATCCTTCTGAACACCTCATGAACAGATGAGGGATCTACATCACACCTGACACCCTCACCTCCATACCGTACAAAGAGGTATTCTCTCGAAGACATTGGAGGGGGCAAAAGATCTGATGCCAGCGCTAGATCTTGGTTGGGCAGTAAAGGTTCCCTTTGGTTTAGTGAATAGTACACATCCGCCAGGAGAAGCCAGACAAGGTCAGCATCCATACAGGCAAGGCCTGCCAATGCCCTTATAGCAGCTTCTTGCAAACCTGTCAAACTACTGTAGGCAATGCCTACCACAAGGCCACATACCTTCTTTAGTACACTTTCTAGTGCAACAGCACTTCTCTTGTTCGAAGATATTGCAGCGATCATGTCCAGGACTGCAATCTGAATCTTTTGGCTAGAGATCTCAGCCATAGGTTCCTCTGAGGTAAGCGAGGTATCCCTATATGGTAAAATGATTGCTTTTTCATCCATCTTTGACATTCGTCGGAATGGAGATAAAGCCAGCAACCTCCAAACAATAGATCCATCCTTATGAAACCGGCGTACATAAAAATCGCCGCCAGATATGCCAGTTGCTCTACTCAACACTTCGGTGCACTTCCTAACAACCGGCTGCAAAACAACAGTATGGTAAGTGAATAACTTACACCTCAGGAAGGTAGCATACAATCAGGTTAAAGTTAAGAGCACAAGCAGATACCCCATAAACTAAATGTAGCATGAAAACTAAAGTCCAGGAGCCAAGAAAATATAAACGCATATAAATTTACTGTGTATTGACTATACTCCGTTTTTATTTAGATGTTGTATCTGTTTTTTTTTTTAAAAAAAAAGTCGCAATTGCATGTCGTATTTTGGTCTAGGCACTTCATTAGGAGAGTCGTGTAGTTAAGAGACGCCTAGTTCCTTCCGCGAAATAATTAAATCTGTATGCAGGGGGGTAGAGGGACACAAGTACTGAGTATGATGCAGCATTAATCGCACGGAGCAGAAAAACGAGAAGGATTAACTCAGTGTTAATCTCCTCGGTCTGTGCACCAAAGGCAGATACGACATCTAAATAAAAATGGGGAGAGTATGTCAAAAATCCATAGATATCCAAACTGACCACTATAATTCCTGACCCAAGCTCGAACATATGAATTAGGTTTTCTTCCGTTGCAAACTACCTGTTCCATGATTAGAATACAACTAAACCTTAAAGAAATATTATGGAAGCTGTATGACGTACTCTTGTAGATCAAAACCCAAGAACCGTGACCTCGTGCAAGGGATTCATGAAAAAAAACTAACATTGATGAATCAAACGATGTAGGAGGGTAATAAACAACCAACAGAACTCACACAATGGAAAACAACCAGATGTGAAAAAACCTACCACTGAGATCTTGTTCCTTAGACAGATAACCAAGTAAGGCCATAGTTTGTTCATTGCTGGGAGTAGCCTATTTTCATCGACATCTTCAGTGGCATCTGTACCATCAAGAAGCTCGTCAAATGAAAGAAACTGGATGGCCTCCTCAATAACTCCTTTGCTTTGACATTCACATTTATAAGCCTCCTCAACCTTGGCAATAGATATAGTGGCATTCTGGAGACAGTAGATAACATTGATGTTATGTCTACAACTGTCAGAAATAACTTCTGCATTGGGACGAAACAAGAAATTTGTGGTATATGTTACTAATGTAACATTGCAGGATTTTTTTTTCACCAATACTTTTTTTAAAAAAAAATGACAGTATAGATTATGGCATGAGAACTATGTCTCCAAGTAATATAAGGTAGCAAGACTGCAAAATCAGTCGGAATGATAAAAATTACAGTGTTATCTCATTAATACAAAAAACTGGAAAAACAAAAAACTCTACATAGCTATCCCACAGTATTGTATAGGTATATATCGACCAAGTTAAAAAAAATCAATATTTGGAATATCATTGCAAATGATGGCTGAAAGAATAGCAGATAAAACCAGTGCAAGCACATGAAAAAGACAAGGCCATATAATGTATTATGAAGGTGATGTTTTCCTTCCAAGTAAAAGAATGAAATAAAAATCGCAACTTCAATTTATTAAAACGCATTGTCCTTACAGAAAAAGAAAATACCTCCACAATATCAAGGGCCACAAGACATGCTGTTTCCTTAGTCGAAGAGAGAAGTGGGATGGCAGCTGACAAACAAGAGCCTGCAAGAGACCCAACTATTCTCCTATATCTTCTCATCTCATTTAGCTTACAAAGTAAATCCTCCCAGTATTCCAAGGTCATAAAATAAGGTCGAGCATCAACATTCATTCTTTCTGATGCAATAACGAAGACAGGATATTAGTGATACTACAGTGTGAGGTCCCCATGAATAAAGTAAATCAAAAAATTTCATATGAAGTGCCAAAAAAATAACAAAAAGACTAATACCCAGTTTGGATGTAGGTATTCAGCCTCAGAATTTGGAATTGGTGTTGAGTAGCTCTGAATGCCGCTGTTTGGGTGGTTAAGAAATCAGAATTGGAAATTTGACCCCAATACAAAGTGATATTCACTATGCTTGCATCCCCTCATCTTCAATACCGAGCCTTGCCCTCCTCCGTATTGCTCTGCATTCACCCACCCAGGTCCCTCCCCAACGAGCCGCCCCCAAAGCTCCGCCACCCGACACGCCTCTGGACCCGACGTGCCGCTGCCCGATGAGCCACCCCTGATGTGCCACCCGACACGCCTCCACCTCCGATGTGCCGCCCCCAATGCACCTCCGCCCTCTTCCCCATGGCCAGTGGCCTTTCTCCTTTTCCCCATGGCCGGTGGCAGCGGGCCCTTCCCTTCTACCCCATGGCCCGCGGCTGGCGGGCCCTTCCCTTCTACCCCATGGCCAGCGGCTGGTGGACCCTTCTCTTCTTCTCCATGGTCGAACGTCGGCAAGCCCTTCTCTTCTTCCCAATGGTCAGCAGGCCTTCTCTTCCTCACGACCGGCGCCTCTTTCTAGGATTCCAGAAGCTAATTGAATAGTCATCCAAACAACAGAATTTGAATCGTGGCCAATTTTAATACCAAGGCTGATTATTGAATCCAATTCAATTACATGTCCCTGAATATCTACATCTAAACAGACCCTAAACCACATTTTGCAGGATACAACAGTTGAACCATGTTACATCGCAGAGTGTTCCAGAATACCATACAGCTATGACAACAGGAAAGCATTTTATTCCCAAGCAAGTTGGGTAGAGCATAGATGGAAAGTGAATACAACAGGAAAAATGTTTTATAGTATGGTAAAAAAATGATAGTTGACTACCATCATGTTTAAATATCTTCTAAAGAATATGAACATTTAAAATTTCAAAGGGAAGTAAATACAGAGA